GAAGGGGAGGGGACGGGAGGGACGAGGGTGGAGGGAGGGAGGGTGGACGGGGGACGAGGGTGGGAGGAAGGAGGATGGACAGGGAGGTACGGGACGAGGGGGGAGGAAGGGAGGTGGACGAGAGGCATGGGACGAGGGGTGGGAGGGAGGGTGGACGGGGAGGTACGGGATGAGGGTGGGAGGAAGGGAGGGTGGACGGGGAGGCAGGACGAGGGTGGGAGGAAGGGAAAGAGGCTGGAGGTGCTCATTAATGTATTGCACGTTTCATTGGTTTCTTGGGCTCGGGAAACTAAACCATTTATATACTCGTTTCGTTTTACCACTTAATGTAGAGTAATACATAAATTCAAGTAGAAAAATGTCTGGAATAGTGTTATAGGCCTATGGGATAAGAAACAGATAGGCCCTATAGGTAGAGATATATAGTACTACAGTATATATAGATGTCCTGAGGGATATATGGGTGATAAAGGAATAGAGAGAGAGAGAGAGACAGAGGGACAAATGGGCAGACAAGAAGCATGTAAATAGTCGATCAGGTTGAATGAGAAGACATAGGAATAATACACACACACACACACACACACACACACGCACACACACGCACACACACACACACACACACACACACACTCCACCTCAACAAAATTCACGCTATCTGAGAGAGAGAGAGAGAGAGAGAGGAAAAATAAATGTGGGAAACAGAGGAATGAGAAGATGGAAGAAGCTATTACAGGCAGGATAATTGGATTCCCACTCGTTAGCGATTGAGTAAACTATAATGATCGTTTGTGTTCCGATAGTTGAGCCAAGGACATTTGGGTTCAGGTTATGGCTGAATAAACTGGCAAGAGAAGATGACATAATTACCTTGAATGGTGAAATTTTACTCAGAATTTCTACCACTTAGATAATTTTCAAATTTTCTCTGACTTTCATACTTTCGTAAAAAAAAATAAATAAAAAATATCTATTGCTTTTCGCGGTGTTCAGCTTTCTAACTAATCTCTTAAGGGAAGATATAATATTTATTTCATATAATTTTCCACAAAAATGTTCAATAAAAATATAATAATAATATAACAATAATAGTAATAATAATAATAATGATAATAATAATAATAATAATAATAATAATAATAATGTTCTCTTCATTTACTCAAACATCCAGATAATAATAAACTTCATCCATCCTAATAAACAAGAAGCTTTATTCACTCATAATAAACTGTACTCGTCGAGGTCAGTGTAGCTATAATATTACCAATCAGATGGAAACAAAAGTAATCAGACAGAGACACATGTGAAACACCGAGGCTTTCACCTGACCACATCAAAGACCACAGAAAATCCTGATCATTTATACGTGTTATCTTGATTAATTGGATACATATGTGTCAAATTCTTAATACAGTCTTAAGAAAAAAATAATAACAACTGATTTAGAAAATATTATATGAAAAGATTATAAAAAAATTGAAATATATTGATGTGATAACTCTTTCTCTAGCCTGGTACACGTATGAAATGTATGTGGAAACTAATTGTGTGTGTGTGTGTGTGTGTGTGTGTGTGTGTGTGTGTGTGTGTGTGTGTGTGTGTACACAGGGTGGTGTATTGCGTCTAATGTAGCAGCATTCTGTTATTGTTAAGGTGCAGGCATTGCTTGCTCCCTCTTGCTTTCAGCTACCGCCGCAGGCTAGCCCTCGTGGCGAACTGGGAAGCAACTTGCATAGGTCGTCCCCTGCCAGTACACATCCTCCTCACCATCAAGACTCCTGCTGTGTCTCTTCGTGGCAACACACGGTACTTGGGTGCCTCGTGGGCCCAGGTTAGACCAGCAGGGGATCTCTGAGTAGCAGTGGGTCCCAGAGAGACAGCGCATAGGCCCACTGGCATGTCGACACGTCCTGGCATTGCCCCGCTGCCTTGCAGATTAACCTTGGTAGGTATAAGGCTACGGGAGTAAATCCCGAACGAAAAATCTGCGGTGGAGCCCGCATCAGGCAGACATGTTTACAGAGCTCCAACAAGACCCCAACGGCATTATAGGCGGAAGAGGTGACCACCATGGAAACCTAATGACTACACCGGCGGATGAAGGCAATGCCTGATGGACAGGCTACTCAGGCGAAACCCAACAAACTGAGCTATCAGCAGTCCATTGCAACTCTCCCTCTCCCCAGTCGTTGCAACACTTCCACCACTGGACCAGGAAAAGGGAGAGCCAAGATGTGTTGTTTCAACTTGCGCTCCTGCCACACCACATAAATCAACTTACGTGCAGCCATCATCCAGCTCATCATACCTCTCTTCATCATCAAACCCCTATACCCCCAAAAGTCCTATGGCGACGGACGAGTGGCGACGGGGACAGGCAGAGATGACTGCCGGGAGTCTTTACTCACAATATGACCCGACAATCAATGTACTCATCAATGATTAACGTACTGCTTTAATTGACTGTCAGAACAACCATCAGTCGCGGACCAAAGCTGATACCTTCCGCAAGACGAAAGCTGTAGCCTAGCGGGAAATTCTCAATCTAAAGAATGACTGGTTTAAAAATAAAGCATGTGAAACACAAAAATGTGCAGATCAGCACAAGGCGCGCGATTTTTTCAATTCCACCAAAACATTTTATGGGCCAATCACTCGTGCCGCAGCCCCCCTCCTCTCATCCAACGGTAACTCCATAATTAAGGACGACGCAGGCCTACTTCAGTGCTGTAAAGAGCACTACCATTCACTGCTCAACCGAAACACTGGTGTGGATGTCCTGACTACCCAGCAGGCCCCTCAGCATCCACAGCTGACCCACCTCAGCTATCCTCCATCACTGGATGAGGTAGCTGCTTCCATCAAACAGATGAAAGAAACAAAGCCTCAGAGCCTGATGGAATCCCTGCCGAGGTGTATAAGGCAGGAGGATCTCTGCTTACCAGCCGTCTCCACTCTCTCCTGGAGAATATATGGGAAAAGAAGGAAATCCCCCCCCAAGCTCTTAAAGACGCCTCCATCGTCAATATTTATAAAAACAAGGGAGACCGGTTAGACTGTGGCAACTACCGCGGGATCTCGCTGCTGTCTGTAGCTGGCAACATTTTTGCCCGAGTCCTCGTAAACAGACTTCTTCCTGAAGCGGAAAACTTCCTCCCACAATCTCAATGTGGCCTTAGACCCTCACGTGACACCACTGACATGATCTTTGCTACCCGCCAGATACAGGAATAGTCCAGGGAACAGCGTCATGACCTGTACATGGCTTTCATCGACCTAACCAAGGCCTTCGACTCGGTCAACAGGGAAGCCCTCTGGTGGACCCTCAGCCGTTTTGGCTGCCCCCCCCCACCCCATAAAAAAAGTTCATCGTCATTGTGAGGCAACTCCACGATAGCATAAACGGCAGTGTTCTGCACAATGGCACTCAGTTTGAGTTCTTCCCTATCCAAACCGGGGTTATGCAAGGGTGTGTACTGGCACCAACTCTCTCTTCCATTTTCTTGGCTGCCTTCCTTAGTCGTGCCAGTGCCAATTTAGCCAGCGGGATGGACATCGAGTACCGGATGAAGGGTCTTTTCAACATAAGACTACTCCAGGAAAGAACAAAGGTGTCGGCAGCTTTCATTATTGAACTTCAGTATGCACACGACCTCGCTCTTTTTGCTCATACTGAGAGCGTCCTACAGGAGATGCGTATGCACACTTAGGCCTTCAGGTGAAAGTACGTAAGATTCAGATTCTCTTTCAACCTGTCCCTGGTTCAGACACACCTCCACCACCCATCCAGCTTAATGGTACTACCCTCTCTAATGTTGCCCACTTTCGGTATCTCGGCTCCCACCTGTCCGCCACTGTGGTCATCGATGAAAAGATTCAGCATTGGATCAGATGTGCATCTCAAGCGTCTGGCAGACTACGTAACCGTGTCTTTAGCTGTATGGAGCTGAAATTATGTACAAAGTTACGCGTATATTGAGCTGTGGTCCTCCCCACCCTGCAATATGGCATCGAGACGTGGGTCACATACAGGAGGCACCTCAAGGCACTTGAAAACTTCCACCAACGTAGTCTACGTTCCATCCTCCGAGTTCGCTGGGAAGACAAGAGAAAAAATGCAAGTATTCTTGCTGTCACTAACTGTAGGAGCATCGAGGCTACCATTTTTCATGAACAACTACGCCAGACTGGCCATGTTATCCGCATGGACTGCCAAAGCAGCTACTTTACAGTTACCTAACGAATAGTAAACGTAACGCTGGTGAGCAACTGAAAAAGTATATGGATAATCTTAAGACAAACTTGAAAAAAGTGCCAAATCGACCCCCTCACCTGGGAGACGATTACTCCACATTGTAAAACTTGGAGGGGCACCAGGAGGAGTCAATACTTTCGAGTTAGCCCGGCTGCAAACAGAGGCAGACAAGCGCCAACGCCGGGAAGACGCTGCCACCGCCCCTTCCGCACTCAATGTAGTCCTCCACATGTGCAACATCTGTGAACAACTCTGCCGGTCCCGTATCGGGCTCTTTAGTCACCTCAAAGCTCACCAATGAAGGTGACATCACTAATAACTCACATCATTGTATCATAGCTGGATGATCGTCATACTCGATTCCGAGTGACAGCAAAGTAGTAGTTTTGTGTGTATGTGTTTGTGTGTTTGTGTGTGTATGTGTTTGTGTGTGTGTGTGTGTGTGTGTGTGTGTGTGTGTGCGTGCGTGTGTGTGTGCACAAACAGCTTGTATTACCCACATGTAAGTAAAAACTATTAAACTGTATGTTACATTGCATATACGTGTGTACTTATTATTATAGATATGAGTTACTTGATTGTTTAGGCTCCTCATAAATTACAGCTACACATGCATTCTTAAATCGCTAGTTCATGCTTGTTACGTGCACGGCTAAGAGGAAGGTTGGGGAGAGCAATATTTTGTACATGCATAATTATCCAGCCTTATGTACAGCGGGTGATAACAACAACATATTATAACAACCTTCATTAGTGACGAGATTGGCCACGTCCTCCACTTCATGGCGGGTCGACTCGATAATTCTTCTTCTTCCTCCTCCAATTCCATTTACTCTTTTACCTCCATTTCCACCTCCAATTCCATTTCCTCCTCCACCATCATTCCCTCCTACTCCTCCTCCAGCACTACTACTACTACTTTCTACTCCATCCCCTCCAACACTACCATCTCCACCTCCACCACCACCTCCTCCGTCACCTTCTCCTTCATCAGTGAGGTCAGTGCGGCGGAAGACAGGGCCTGGTGTGAGGTTCCCCTTTTGGGCCCGACGGAGCAGCAGTTGGGCAATTATTTCTTTTGGTGTCGGGTTGCGCACTGGAATGACGAGAGAACGACTGTCACTACACGCATTATGACAACAGATTAGCAAAGTGTTTAAAAAATTCTTCTAAAACTTAAAAAAAAAAAAAACTGGTATCTATTCTACATTTGAAAACTATTTGAATGCTTTGAAAATCACTTAAAGATGATATATTGCAATCTTCTTCATAATTATATTTACATACAGATATATAAACAAGATCACGTTATTAGACATTTTGTTAGATTTTTAAAGTTTACTATAACCGATTCTAAATAAATTAAGATTAATGAATAATTTTTCCAATAGGAGGCTATGCAAGCATCATGCCATACAAGAAGAACCTTAAGAGAAGAGTTAGACAGTGGAGTAGTGACAAGGGTCGTCTCACACAAACCTCTCGGATAACACGCAAACACGAACGGCTCCCAACGCCCAATCGTAAACACTTCCGCATTTCGTGTTTTGGGGATGATTTAAAAGAGATATCAATTATTTTTCGTCGATTATTTTCTACGCATATTTTATATTTGCCTTTTATTATCGATTTTATAATTTTTGGCCCTTTTTTTCGATCGGTTTTATCGGTTGTTATCGCGCGTGTCACACCAGCTTAGGACGTTCATCATCAGTAAACATAAGAGAGAGTATTTGCCATCATGCTGCATCCGACGGTTTCAGCCCTGGATTGTCAGAAGATGGAATGTAAGGAAGGTAGAAAACAGAAGGGAGGAAGAAAGGAGAGAGGAAGGAGGGAAAGGGAGAGAGACAAAAAACTTAGAGAGATGAAAAGGAAGGAGGAAGGAAGAGAAGAAATTAAAGAAGGACAATTAAAAGATAATATCACACTCAACGAGGAAATATTTCAGTGTTGTAACCTTCCATCATATCGTTTCCTCTGACGAAGGTAATATGGCCACTTAATATCGAGTGAGACAGAATTGAAAACGAGTAAGGATTCAAAGCTAACTCACATGACACCAGTTTATAAAGGAAGGAAATGAAGAGATATTAACAGAGGCCCAACGAGTCTGAACTGGATCCCACGAGATAGGAAAAGATTTATTAGACCAAATACCAAAGAAATTGTGTACAGGTAAAGTGAGGAAAGAACTGTTGTAGAAGAAAACGAGAAAGAGAGGTGATGATGATAATGATGATGATAATGATAACAATAATAATGATGATGATGACAATGATAATGATAATGATGATGATGATAGAGAGAGTTTTCGGATAATGTTTCACGTTAACCAGACTCTTCCTGGATAAGGTCTTGATTCTGACAAAAGAGAAAGTTATTATGGAGAGAGAGAGAGAGAGAGAGAGAGAGAGAGAGAGAGAGTGAGAGAGAGAGAGAGAGAGTCTAAAAATGAAGAAATATGGGAAATAAAATAAACAACGATAAAATGGAATAAGAGAGGAAAGAAATTGACAGACAAATAAAAAGTAAAACAATAAACACGACAACGACATATACTGTATATACCCTCCACGTGTAGCTACCATAATAAATCTGACCACCTTACAATGTATCCTTTTTCATGTTGAGTAAACGTTTGGTCGTGTCTCTCTGTCTGTCTGTCTATCTGTCATCCTTGCCTCCTTCTCTTCGTCCCTTACTCTATCAATCGTTTCCTCACTCATTCTACTATTCCCCCAACCTCTTTCTCCCTCTCTTGTCCCCTTCTCTTATCGCTATGTTGAGAAATATGACAGACAGACAGACAAAATTATGAAAGGTAAACAGGAAAGACAGATATGAAAGACAGATGGAAATGAAAGATGGGAAAGAGAGAGAGAGAGAGAGAGAGAGAGAGAGAGAGAGAGAGAGAGAGAGAGAGAGAGAGAGAGATTGTGTAAATAAAACTCTTGATGCAATGGCTGATATTTTCCCTAGTTATCTGTGTGTGTTACTCCTCACGTGTAGTAATGATGTCAGCTGTTTGGTATACAGTATATACTCCCTCCCTCCCTCCCTCCCTCCCTCACTCACTCCGTCTACTTAGCTTTCTTCCTTGTTCTCTCTCTCCTTCCCTCCCCTTATACTTAGCCTTCCACCTCTTTATCTCCCCCTCTCCCTATTACTTCCCTCTCAATCTCACCTAAGTCCAGTGCTCCTACGTCACCCACCAACTTGGGCAATTAATGACAAGCAGCCCAAGTGAATGTAATCAAAGGAAAAACAACCATTACACTTTTACATTATTTTTACTCTGTTTTGTAATCATATTTCACAAGTGCATCAACAATTTTCCCCTGGACTAGAAAGTTATGTGAATATGTAAATTGCTCGAGGCTGCTGACTGCTCTTGATGTCTCTTAGTGTGCAGGTGACCATCCTCAGCAGGTGGAGTTGTGACCGTGAGGCAATATAATGATGATTCGGTCATTAGCGTGATGACACATAAACATGGGCTGAAGGATGATTGACTGACTGAGTGACTGATAGGTTGAATAGTAATCAGTCCTCACGTTCATCACTATTCAAATTTTACCGCTCACAAGGGAGGGAGGGGAATGGGAGGGGAGGGATGAAGGGAAGGGAAGGGAGAGTGAGAGGGAGGGGAAGGGAGGGAGGGATATTCTCATCATTAGGCCCCCACCCAGTAACATTCTCCACCGAAAATGAGTTACCGTCTGCCGCTTGAGGGGATCCTACATAATAAATTGCCCAACCAAGTGAGAGTAGTTATATTAGCACCGTTTCTTTTCCCACGTGATTTTGTTTACCATCTGAGCTCGGTACTTTCACCACATTCCTGTCATAAATCCGTAATTTATCATCGTAACACCGAGTATATTAGCGGGTGAAACTAAATAAGAGTTTTCACCATATGCCTGAAGGCTGACAAGACGGTAGGTATATGAAAGTCTCTGGTCGTCACTAAGTGTTGCATGAGTGTTGCTTATTATCCTCGCTATATTTTCTACCCCTTCTTTGTATGGTAATGTAGAGGTGTGAGTGAGTGTGTGTGTGTGTGTGTCTCTAAGTGTGTGTGAGTGTGTGGGTCTAAGTGTGTGTGTGTGTGTGTGTGTGTGTGTGTGTGTGTAAAGGTGTAAAATCCACATACAATAACATCCCAATGCTTACCTGTACTACATAAGCCTTGCAGAGAAGTTGAATATACAACAGGTTCCAACTAACTAAGATCACCCATTAGCATATATCTGACAATAGCAACAAGACCAACAAGTTTTCAAAGATTGTGAATTCAACGTTTGAGAAACCGATAGTATTAGGGTTTCAGAGACCGTGTGTATTAGGGTTTCAGAGACTGGTAGTTAGGTTTCAGAGACCGAGAGTATTAGGGTTTCAAAGACCTAGAGTATTAGGGTTCCAGAGACCGAGAGTATTAGGGTTTCAGAGACCTAAAGTATTAGGGTTTCAGAGACCGAGAGTATTAGGGTTTCAGAGACCTAGAGTATTAGGGTTTCAGAGACCGAGAGTATTAGGGTTTCAGAGACCGAGAGTATTAGGGTTTCAGAGACCGAGAGTATTAGGGTTACAGAGACCGAGGTTTCAAAGGTTAAAAATTCGGGAATGAAAATCTGAGCTCGTTGGGTAAGGATCTGTCGTGTTCTGTCTTGAATCAGATGGACGTATAACAATCTTTATATATTTAAAGCTTTTATGTGTATATTCGCGTACCTATCCTGTGGTCGTGTCAGCCGAGGTGGAGAGAGAATAATGATAATAACAAGATAAAGAGTGAGATAGAGGAAAGAAATGATAATAATAAGCAAAAGGAGGAGGGAACAGTAGCGGCAACACTAGTGTACTGTAGATGGTTGTACTAATAAGAACTACAACTAATATAAAATGTTTATAGTAATAGCAACTAACTACGACAGTATATACAGCAATGTTTATAGTAATAGCAACTAACTACGACAGTATATACAGTAATGTTTATAGTAATAGCAACTAACTATGACAGTTTATACAGTAATGTTTATAGTAATAGCAACTAACTACGACAGTATATACAGTAATGTTTATAGTAATAGCAACTAACTACGACAGTATATACAGTAATGTTTATAGTAATAGCAACTAACTACGACAGTATATACAGTAATGTTTATAGTAATAGCAACTAACTACGACAGTATATACAGTAATGTTTATAGTAATAGCAACTAACTACGACAGTATATACAGTAATGTTTATAGTAATAGCAACTAACTACGACAGTATATACAGTAATGTTTATAGTAATAGCAACTAACTATGACAGTATATAGAGTAATGTTTATAGTAATAGCAACTAACTACGACAGTATATACAGTAATGTTTATAGTAATAGCAACTAACTATGACAGTATATATAGTAATGTTTATAGTAATAGCAACTAACTATGACAGTATATACAGTAATGTTTATAGTAATAGCAAGTAACTACGACAGTATATACAGTAATGTTTATAGTAATAGCAACTAACTACGACAGTATATACAGTAATGTTTATAGTAATAGCAACTAACTACGACAGTATATAGAGTAATGTTTATAGTAATAGCAACTAACTACGACAGTATATACAGTAATGTTTATAGTAATAGCAACTAACTACGACAGTATATACAGTAATGTTTATAGTAATAGCAACTAACTACGACAGTATATACAGTAATGTTTATAGTAATAGCAACTAACTACAACAGTATATACAGTAATGTTTATAGTAATAGCAACTAACTACGACAGTATATACAGTAATGTTTATAGTAATAGCAACTAACTACGACAGTATATACAGTAATGTTTATAGTAATAGCAACTAACTACGACAGTATATACAGTAATGTTTATAGTAATAGCAACTACGACATGCAAACTACATTAGTTAATACAGACTACAACAGAAGTAGTAGTAGTAGTAGTAGTAGTAGTAGTAGTAGCGAAGGCAATAATAAAAACAACTACAGTAGAAACAATAAATTAACTATTAAAAGTGAATTCAGTAATGACAACAGATGCAGCAGCGATAGAAAGAAGACTAGTTA